GGTTGTCCAGTGCAGAGTGGTCAGCCCTGAAACCATATACACACAAACAACAGGCTCAGTGGGATATATATGTATATGTATGTATGTATGTATGTATATATATGTGTATGTATGTGTGTATGTATACATATATATACACATACATATATAATCAAAGGAAAAAAGGATATCAACTTGAGAGTGGGAGAGTATGGGAGGGGCTGAGGGGAGGAAAGGGGAGGAGTGATGTATTTCTATTTGAATTAAAAATATTTTTTAAAGGAATTTTAGTATTTCTACCCTTCATCTGGTCTATTAGTTGAGTTGGGTTCTGGGTATAATTTGGTTCATTTTTATATTTTTGCTAAATTCAATATATCTGTATTTATATTTGTTTTATTGGTACTAGTAGGTTTTAATTCATTTGCAATTGAAGGAATAAGAAAATTGCATTATGAGACGTCTCTATATATATTAGAGACAGTGAAATTTTTTACTCTTCAGATTACACTTTGGTTTTTATAGACTCTTTCTATACCCCCTTCCTTGAATGTGTACATATATACATGTTAAAGTAGCCATATGTTTGACTTTTTGTGGGATAGTGAGCCATGAGGCTTTTATTTTAAGTGATGATTCAGGCTGCAGATACCCTGCTTTATCTGTGTCATCTGGACTCATTAGACTATCCTTTCTGGAGACTGAGCAGGGAGAAGGAAAATCTGCATTATGTACTTTGCTTATATAAGCACATCTGTGTGGCTAACATAAAAATCAATAGTATAAGCAATAGAAAGTGGTTTCACCTACAGCAAGTAGGCCAGTGTAGCTAGCTATCAAGGTTCTCAGAAAGTGGGTTTTGAGTACACAATAAAACACTAGTGAGTGGTTTTACACACACACACACACACACAGCCTGTGAGGGAAAATTAAATTAAAATACAAAAGAGTTGCATGTTTTTCAGTAGATAGAATCACTTGGAAATGTTCATAAAATATCTTATTATAAAACAGTAAAATCCAGAGAATGGGACGGGGGGATTCTTTTCTTGTTGTGAGATATCAGTTTAAAATGTGATGAGAGTATTGAGACACCCAAGTTTATGAATTACTACTTGGTACATTTTAGAATAAATATCTTAAAATGCATGTTGTTTAAACACGGGTGTCCTGCAGCGCTCAGCTGCTGGCACAGGTCTCTTCAAGTACTCAGTGACACAGTTCAGACTTCTAACTGCCAACCCAGCAGAAACTCACCTGCACTGAGTTCAGGATTTTGTGTGGCAATAAGCATTTTTAATTAAAAGTTTCCCAGTTCCTAAATTTGGAACAGAATCTGTAAACATGTGGCAGATTGAGCTTGCCAACCCAAGCATTATTGGAGCTGTAAGGGAAACGTGACTTTTTAAAAAAAATCACATGGGTAGGATGAGAAAATCCAGCTGTGTTTATTTCAAATTGCACTAATCAGAGTTCTTTTACTCTTTTCCTTTTGCATCAGTGCATCTACTGGTTTGTGTGTGATGCTCCCCATCCCCCAGCCATTCACTTTTCTCTTTTAAGACTGACTTTAAGTAATGATGGAGGTTGAAGCAATAAACAGACATTTACTGTGGTAACAGAAAGCCTATCCTGTAGTTTATGTCCTAAATCAGTCAGAAGCAGCAAATCATCTTCATTGGCAATTAGATTTTTAACACATGCTAGCTAACCCTTTCCTTCACAGTCCATAAGTTGACAAAGAAATCAAGACTCTGCTAACCTTAAAATAGAAATGTAGAGTATGGTGTTCCTTAATTAATGTAAAGTCAACCTCTATGAAGCAATTTCCCAGTTAAATTAAGGAACAGTCACATTGGAAGCCTGCATTATTCCTATGTGGTGTTTGCAGTAGTGGTAGTCAGAAGAGCCAGGCCAGGAATCAAGGAATGCACATTATCTTGATGAAGACCCTTGTCAGGCTCACCTTGGAAAAGCTTTAAACTCATTATGCTACCAATAAATAACCTTTCTGTTCCATTAGAGGAGTAAACTGAAGGCACCAGACTCTAAAACTCTAGTTAGAAGATCTGTGAAAAATCAGTTCATGTGAAGGAACAGGAGGAGGTAACATGATCAGAGGTGACCTAGGGTTTCTGTTTGGACAGATAATGCCTCCCCCCCCCCCCCCCCACCGCGCTCTTGCCCTAGCCATCCCCAGGCTGTTTATTCTTCTGTTTACTGTAGTCCTGCTTCTGTGGGAGTTACTTCTCAGAGACACCGTCTTCTTGATACAGGAAGAACCTGCTTATTTATTCAGCAGTGATGTTGGATATGGTAGGCTTTGGCTATCGATTCATGGTCTTGTATCTTCATTTTGAACTATAGGACATTCTGAACTAGGTATTAATTATTGAAATTTTAGTAAGCATTTTAAGTCATCCAAATGATTAGATGATTAGAATGAGCTTTTATAGCAGCTCTTGGAAGGTGGACTACACTGCAGAATATTGGAAAAAAATTATTTCATGTAACTTTCTCTAAAGTTAAACCAGATAAATCGTACAAAAAGAGACTTTTAACTAAGGTGGGCACTGCAAAGGAAACAAGTGAGAGATTGTACTTGCAAAAAGCGATAGAGGGACTACCACCATCTAGTGAGAGGGTAGCTGGCAATCACATGTAACAAGCTAAAGCTTCCTAGATCTGTTCCTGAGTAGTTTTTAGTAAGCAGTCATTCCCCACCCCCCAGAGCTTCCTTTATTACCAGCTTTTGACTGAGAATTTACTGGTGGGAATGAGACCTCACCGCCCCCCCCTTCTGTTTTAAAACAGTCACCTTTGCCTTGTTTGCAGAGCATGCTCCCTGAGTCTTGCCAGCTGCAGCTTCTCTCTGCTGCCTTCCAGCTCTAATCTCCTTAAAGGTGTAGCTCCATGGCAACAGGCCCAGCCTTGAGCCCTGGAACCTTGTTTGTATTACCTGAGGGGCTAGATTCAGCCTAGAGAAATAGCGGATGTCACCTGCACTGCAGGGCTTGGATAGTGAGGACTTGTTGGATTGTTTTTGTTTCTGTCCTGCTTCTGCTGAAGATTTGAATAACACCTGAGAAACATTTGTGCACAGAAGCATCAGTGGCATCGGTAACTGAAGGCAGAAGGGACATCATCCTCAGCTGGCTCCTGTCTTCTACACAGAGACTTGTTTTCTGAGGTGTAGTCCAGGAAGTGACTTGCCGCACCGGGACATGTGGCACCGCTATGGTTTGGGGTTGCACTGCCAGGGGGCTGTACAATTGCTTCGTGTAGGTAGACATTTATCTTGTTTTAAATAAAATTAGCTTATATTTTAATTTTTTGGAGATTATAAAAAATAAAAGACATTTTGTCATAGCACCTGTTTTACATGTCTCTTGATCATCCTAGAGCCAAAGAGGCTTTTTCCTCCAGCAATTCCTCCTGGAAAAGAGAGCTAAAATCATTATTTTCTGTTTAACAAAGATGATGGTGTCCTGTTTCTCCATCTGGTTTCTGATTCAGCATATTCAGAAAGGCTGTTATGATAAATTGTTGTAAGGTTTTAAAAGATAGCGTTTAGTTACTTATAATTGTGCTGTATTTGTACCTTGTAAATTCAAAAATGTTTCCTTATCCAGAACAAAGGAAAATGAATACAAGTGGTGCTTTGTTGTGTTTTTATGACACTATATTTGGTGGCTTTTGTCCCTTTAGTACACTTTATTAGTGGGAACTACTATGTTGCCCTTTTTACTTAAAAAAAAAAATGCTATCAGAAGACAGGGTTTTTTTCCAGTCTAAACTTTAGTCATTACTGTTTTGTTTTTGTTAAAACAACAGACTAAATTATTCTTATTGCTTAAGATGTTTCTTATTTATGGGGTTTGACCAAGTGGAGTGGAGACAGAAGATAGTGAATTTAATGCTAGTTTTCAGTTTCCTATTTCTTAATAATTCAGCTAACTGCTCTTCTGGCAGTAAGTGCTACAGCTCATTTCAGTGTTATCCTTGTTCCTAGCAAATGAATAAAGCTGCTTATTTAATATTTTACCAAAACAAATGTCTTTACACAGACATTTCTTTATAGACTTATTATTAAGTCCTACTTGAACCATAGGGGTGTCTCAATCAATAAGTGTGATAATTATTGACTAAAACTGTGTGACTGTACAGTTTTGAATTTAGGAAAATTGTTTTCCATCATGTGTGACTTCATTAATTTTTATGATAGGAAGGCAATGAAGTACTAGCTCCTGTAGTAACAAGAGCTAGGATACCCATGCTTCTTCTTGAACAACCAGGAAAATAGAATCAGCCAAGACACCTGCCTATCAGTGTCAACTGTTCTCTGGGGAGTTTGGCTTTTTTTCTCTCTCTCTCTCCTATTTTTTAAAGTGTGGTGGGAAGTTTCCTCAAGGCATTCTATTCTTATTATACTGTAAAGCCTGTATAGAAGTCAAAGTTTGTCAGAAGAGAATTCCATATTGAGATGGAAATCGGGTTGTTTGAAAGACTTCCCTGTGCTGGAAAGTTTGTCTTTCCTGCTGTCACTCTCACTCCCTTGCTTGCTTTCTCTTGCTCACTGAGTGTGCTGGGCTGGGAGTAGGGTCTTCCAGAGCACAAAGAAACAGACGAGGATTCAGCCATTGTCAGTGACACGATAAATGATGTGTATCGTCAAATAAAATAGGAAAGAATGTCTTTTGACAATATTTTTGCATAAAAAGTAATAAAGAATTCTGAATAGTGTGTATTTTCCAGTACAGAAATGAGACTAGAAATAACATCTGTGCAGGAACTTGAGGTCCTTGGAGACCTGTAAGAGTATTCTGTTTTGAAAATGCGTGTTCATGAGTATGTTCATATATGCATAGTTATGTATACCCATGAATGTGTCTGTTAATACTGTTGTTATTGTATGATATTTATTTGTTCCTTCTTTTATTTTTCCCATTACACTTCTGTACATTTTTTTTTTTGTCTCTTTTCCTTAATGTAACACTGCCTCAAGTATTCTCTACTTTTAGGGCTCGTGGTCTGCCTAAACTGAAAGAGTCTCGTTCCCATGAGTCCCTGCTGAGCCCGTGCAGTGCAGTGGAATGTTTGGATCTTGGTAGAGGGGAGCCAGTGTCAGTGAAACCACTCCATAGTAGCATCCTTGGACAAGACTTCTGCTTTGAGGTAAAAAGGAAAAAGAATTTCAGAAAAAAAGGAAAATAGTTGACATAATTTGTTTCACTGTCTTGTTTCTGATTTAGTTGTCTTACCTAGTTTTCAGTTCCTGAAATTTTTTTACTTATAAGGGAAGAGTTGAAAATCTGTTAATAGAATTATATTTGTAACTGAAGTTATTAATTATTATCTCATACTTTTGTCTTTGTTTGCTTTAAAAACTTAAGCACTTAGTACATTCTCAGAGTAGGTTACAAGATTCAATAGTTTCTCAAACTAATGTGTTTTTTAATATTAATGTCATATACTGTTATTTAATCCCAATTTTAGAAGAATTTGGAGAAAACCCACCAAAATTACAGTTTTATAAGTATAGCATGATCAGTTCTTGACCTAGGACCATACCTTGTTTGTTTTTATAATCTCCTGCATGTTTCTAGACCAGTAACTGCCCTTCTCAGCCACATGCCAGGGTCTCACTAACCTTCTGGAACTAGGAACTGCCTTTTCAGACACAACACACCACCTGATCTGGTTCACTGTATTATGACCCAAGAGTGTAAGTGAGCAGACTGTAGCTTGGTGTAGGTCGTTTATACGTGGTGATTATTATTATTATTATTATTATCATCATTATTATTACTTGTTTAAAATCCCTTGAACTTTTCCTTATTTGCAAAGCCCAGTTCAGTAGCTTCTGCTATGGATATAGTACACTTTGTCAGATGTTATAAATGACTGAAAATGAATGGGTTAATTACCTCCTTGAGGAGAAATGGATTCCAAAGAGTGACTCCTCTGTACTGATGCCTTTCAACTTCATTTAGTAGCCTTCAGTAGCATTGTAATCAAGCCGTCTTATGAAATTAAATGATCTTACAAACATTCCCTTCTTATTTTTATTAGCTCAAATGAGCATATTCATTTATAGGTTATTTTAGATATGGCCTTAAACTTTTTTAATTTTTTGTTTCTCTGCACCATAGGCCAAATTGTAAATGATCTCTTTTTCTCGTAGTTGGAAATAAGTATTGATGCTACTTAGAGAATTTAAGTAAAGATATGACAAAATTAAAATAATTGTTTTAATTTCACATAGTAGGAGTTGTGTTTCATAACATGCCCCTAATTCTTAAACTTTAGAAATTAGAAGATAGATCCCCCACCACACACGTAGTCTCACATCCACATCTCTAATCTTTGTGTTGAAGGTCACCTACTTAAGTGGAAGTAAATGCTTTAGCTGTAACTCTGCCTCAGAGAGAGATAAGTGGATGGAAAACCTTCGAAGGACAGTTCAACCAAATAAGGTAATGGTGGCTCTGAGTGTCAAAATGTGTCACAAATAGGATGTGTATACCACCCCCTCTAAGACTCATGGATCGTCTGAGAAGAGGGGGCAGAAAGAATGGAAATACAGGAAGATAAGGAGAAGGGCTGAGAAGTACACAGCCAGCGTACTCCTCATCTCACGGCTGCTGTGGCAGCGGACCACACGGCACTGGGTCTGTCAGGGGCCCTGCCCTCCCTGCTGAACTTGTCCATTTCAGGGGAGGAGCAGTTACAGTTTCAGGGATGTGCCCACCAGAGGAGTCCGTCAGACTCTAGTGGATGGTTCTGAACCCATTGTCACACAGATGTTCTTGATTAAACTCAGTGAGTTTCAGAAAGGTGGGAAGGGGCTATGATGTGTAAGAACGGAACTTGTAGGAAAGGGAGTCATGAGGGTGGGAATGAGATAAAAGAAGGCGGGGTTATGGTAATCAGAATGCACATTACACATGTATGAAATTGTGAGAACAAATTCATTAAGTGTTTTTTAAAAAAATGTACCGTTTTGTAATCATCGAGTTGATAGAAGACAAATGTAATATCTTAATTTTATATATCTTAATAAAATGTTGTTGTTGAGACATATCTCACTATGTAACCAAGGCTGGCCTTAAACTTGCAGCCCTTTTGCCCTAGCCCTTGCGAGGCTAGCATTATAAGCAATTGCTACCACATCTGGCTTAGAGTTTGACAGTTTGAAAAACCTGTATACCTGTTAGGACATTTTACACTGAAAATTATCTTACTGAAGACAATATTGTTGTTATTTTACTAGTGGGAATAGAGACTCAGAAAGCTAAGTAACATGCCCAGCCAGAAGTTAATACATAATAAAAGTTGTATTAGCAACTTATCTTTTTTATTTTTAGAAATTAGTATAAATTGTTGTTACATGATCATACTTTTTAATCCAAGTAAAACAGAATATGTGGTTCCATAAGATTTGTTTTGTTTTCGAGACAGTTTCTGGTGTAGCCCTGGCTGTTCTGGAACTCACTCTGTAGACCAGGCTGGCCTCAAACTCAGAAATTTGCATCCTTCTTCCTCGTGAGTGCTGGGCTAATGGCTTGCATCACCACTGCCCGGCTTTGTAAGATTTTTTTTTAAATAGATTTTTATTACATTTATTTATGTGTGTGTGTGTGTGTGTCAACATGTGTGGAAGTCAGAGGACAATTTGCAGGGTTGATTCTTTTCCTTCAACAGTGTGTATTCTGAGATCAAATTCAGGTCACTGGGCTTGGCAGCAGGTGCATCTACCCACTGAACTTGCACAGGATTCTTCTTTAGAGTTCTATGGTTCAAAACAATGAGATAGCAATTCTTTTTACTGTGTTGACTGCTCTTAGTAGAGGAACATTAATAAACAGCATTACTTTAGAAAGAAAACATTCCCTTTCTGGTTCGTCAAATCTCAAATTTGCTGTCTCTTTATAGGACAATTGTCGACGAGCTGAAAATGTTCTCCGTTTATGGATCATTGAAGCCAAGGACCTTGCCCCTAAAAAAAAATATTTCTGCGAACTGTGCCTTGATGATACCCTATTTGCTCGTACAACCAGCAAGACCAAAGCAGACAATATTTTCTGGGGTGAACATTTTGAATTCTATAGCCTTCCACCTCTTCATAGCATCACAGTTCACATTTATAAGGATGTGGAAAAAAAGAAAAAAAAGGACAAGAATAATTATGTAGGGCTCGTCAACATCCCCACTGCCAGTGTGACTGGTCGCCAGTTTGTAGAAAAGTGGTACCCAGTAAGTACACCTACACCCAACAAAGGAAAGACAGGAGGACCTTCCATTCGGATTAAGTCACGTTTCCAAACTATCACCATTCTGCCTATGGAGCAATACAAAGAATTTGCAGAATTCATCACCAGCAACTACACCATGCTGTGTTCTGTTCTTGAGCCGGTAATTAGTGTGAGGAATAAAGAGGAGCTGGCTTGTGCCTTAGTACACATTCTTCAGAGTACTGGCAGAGCCAAGGTAAGCCAAAATGGGTGTATTACCTGAAAGTCCTTTCTTGCCATGTACAAGGAAGTGAAGCTGTGGATACTGGGAGATACTGTGAAAATTCACCTTAGAATGTTTTCAGAAAAGAAAAAGGAAATTAAGGTTGAGTGAAGGAAGTCTGTAGGCAGTTCTGTAAGATACGGAGATTTGTAAACTAAAGCGAAAGGGAGGGCTAGGGCTAGCAAATACTTATTTCTAGTTTGTTTTTGTGAGGGTAGATACCAAGGCCACAGTTGCTGTCGTACCCCACGACATGAATTCTGTTGTTGTTTTCTTTTTTGAAACATGGTCTCACCATATTGCCCATTCAAGCTTCAAACTTGATATCCTCCTGCCTCAGCCTCCCAAGTCCCAGAATTAAAGGTGTATTACAAGTGTGCAACATCATGCCTAGCTGAAATTTTTCTGAAGTACTAAATGTTGTATTTTAAGATTAACTGCTAACTGTATCTCAGTGGTACGGAAGGAGATAATCAAAAAAATGTGCTGGGTATAAGTCTTCATGGAGTTAGCGTCTGTAGCTGAAATGGAAACACAGGGGGGTTGGACAGTTAGTTGGCAGCTTTTTTGTCGCACTCTTTCATCTACATGGAATGAAAACTGGGAAGATAAAATAACATCTAACATGTGCCAGTAACTGTTAGGTGCTGAAAGTGTGCCTTCACTGGGCGTGTTGGAAAAAAATAAACACTATCTTTAGTCTTTCGGTTTTCTGGAGAAATTGTATTAAGTAATAAAAAAGTGGATCTTTGGGCTGGAGAGATGGCTCAGTGGTTAAGAGCATTGCCTGCTCTTCCAAAGGTCCTGAGTTCAATTCCCGGCAACCACATGGTGGCTCACAACCATCTGTAATGAGGTCTGGTGCCCTCTTCTGGCCTGCAGACATACACACAGACAGAATATTGCATACATAATAAATAATAAATAAATAAATATTTTTTTTTAAAAAGTGGATCTTTGATTATAGTAGGAAGTGCAGAAGGTAAAAAGATAAATAATATTGTGGAGGTGTGGAGCAAGGGGAACTGACAAGAGATGCTCTAGGGTAATATTGATCCATGAGGGCTTCATGGAGGAAGCAGTATGTGAGCTGAGATCTAACCGTTTCCAGAAATTACTTTTATAATAATGGGAGTGGAGGTGAGGGCAGAACTGAGAGCAGCATTTGAAAAGATTATTATGGTGAGTAGAGAACCTTGTATGTGGATGGGCTGTGCGGACTAATGGACTTAAAAAAGAAACTAAAGCAGCATCAGGGACTGGAGCAGAGAGACTAGGACTTGGTGACCGTCAAAACACAGAGCGACTTGGAGATGCATTTAGAATTATGGTCCTTTTCAAAAGTGCATTAGAAAATCTCTGAAGGAATTCAGAAACCAAGTTTAGAGCTGACGATACTTAAGATTTTTATCTTGACTGCCTTTTCCCTCTCCAAGGAGTTTGTTGGCTTCGTTTTTAGCAGAGTTCCCAGCATATCTCTATTTCAGTAGTCTCTTTTAATGTATGGTTCTTATTCAGTTGCTTTCTTTCTGACTGAACATTATTCTGCCAGGATTTTCTAACTGATTTGGTGATGTCTGAGGTGGATCGTTGTGGAGAACATGATGTTTTGATCTTCAGAGAAAACACCATTGCCACTAAATCCATTGAAGAATACCTCAAGTTGGTGGGACAACAGTACCTTCATGATGCACTGGGTATGGAAGAGGAAGATACTTATTCTTTCCCTTTCAGTTTTAACTTCTTCTACCTCCTACGTCCAAGAAGTTAAACTCAAACTGTATGTTCATCTGACTTGAGTGATTTAGATTTCAACCATTAACTGTCTCTGCAGTACCTACCAGTATAGTAACCACATATGTTCATTATAACATGTATGAAAATAGAAAACCCTTCAGCGTATATAGCCACCCCAAACCTCTGCATTTCTGACTCCAGGATATATAATAGTACTGATGGATTTCACTACTAGAACGTAGTTGTCCTATTTTTCCGAAAGTACTGAGTGTTCATACTGTGATATGGCTGCATTACTTCAGTCTTAAAAGGACTAACCTGCCATTTATTATGCTTTCAAATTTCTCATCATAAATAAAGAATGTTTGATAGTTCCTACAGTTCTACGCTTCTGTTTTAAGGTCTCTAACTAGTAACTAATTTTTGCCCAATCATTAGTTGTTGATGACTAAGCCACTCGCCTGATTTGTTAAAAATTAGTTACTAGTTAGAAGTTAAACTGACTTGGCAATTTGTTCAGTTTGTAGGAAAGATTGATTAAATATTATAGAGAATTTGTAGACTTTCTAAGTGACTAAGGATAGTGAGTTTGTTTGGGGTATTTTATTTTTAATCATGTATGTCTTCTCATGGGCATGTACACATGAGTGCAGGTACTCATGGAGCTTAAGTTAACAGACAGTTATTGCTTGCCATATGTGACTGTGGGAATCAAACTCAGGTCCTCTACAAGAGCAGTACAGGCTCTTAAATGTAGAGTCATCGCTCCAGACCCTTGATAACTTTCTTAGAAGAAACATAACAGAAATCATGGAAGTAGTAGGCCTTAAAGGGGGAAATTATATGTTACCTTATGTGCATGCACTTGAAGTTCTGATAGAAATTTGGGGGGAGTTTAGATGAAAAAGCAAATCAGAGCATATGTCTAGACAGATGTGAGAACTCAGGGACTGACTTATGTAGAAGAGTTAAATGAAGCTAAGAAATTGCCAAAACAAAAAGGATAGAGCCAAAAACACATCTTATGAAAAAGGGAAATAAAAAAACAAGAAAAATGATCAGAGGGAGAAAATGCAAAAAAAAAAAAAAAAAAACACCGTGGAAATGCAGCCTCAAATACTAATAAAAAGGAGAGTAGAGGAGTCAGAGAAGTGCTGTTTTTCATAGTGCCTCCTAGGTGGTCAGCTCCATCAGGATGAAGTTGAGTATGTCCAAAACTGATTGGGTGGATGAGAAGCACATGGACACGGGCATTCTTACTGTTGCTCTGGGTGGAGAGTGGAAGGGTTATGTGGTCTGAATCCATGGTAAGAACAATGAACAAGGTTTTCCCTTGAAGCAGGGTATTTTGACACACATCTGGTGAGTAAGGGACTTTCTTGTGATAAACAAAGGATAATTGGAGAGAGGAAGAGCAAGTCTGGATTTGGATGCATTGTGGATGCCAAGCTGAGTATTCTCAACTTGGTTATTGTTTAGAGCCCAAAAGAACTAGCACAATCTACAAACTTTTCAACTCTCTAAAGATGATGTCCACCAATATGTTGTCAAGAAAGCTTTTAAGCAAGGAAGGTGAGAAGCCCCCAGGATTCAGCATCTTGTAACGTCACAAATCCTACAAGTGCTCTAAAGAAACAACACACTAAGAAAAAAAAGGAGGCTTCGAATGTGCTAAACTTTTGGCCCAGATAATGAAAGAAGCCAAAGAAAAGCTGCAGAAGCAGATTGCCAAGAGATGTAGGCTGTCTTTGCTGAGAGTGTCTACTTCTAAGTTCAGTCAGAAATAAAGAATCTCTAAAAGTAACAAATAGTTAGATGTTGAGGACAGAGAGGGTCAGAAGCTGAAGGTGCAGCTCAGTAGTAGCACACATTTTTAAGCATTCGTCATACCCTAGATTCAATACCCAAGACTACTGCTTTTATTCTTACATGTTTTATTTGTGTGTATGGGTGTGTGTGTGTGTGTGTGTGTGTGTGTGTGTGAGAGAGAGAGAGAGAGAGAGAGAGAGAGAGAGAGAGAGAGAGAGAGAG